AAAGCTGCGCAAAACTATACTGATATCAATTCTATCTTCTGAAGACAAACAGTGTTTGTTTGGTCAGTAATTCTGGATCTTCTATGTAAGCGTGTAATATCTAGTTTATTAAAGAGATTAATGTTAATCACACATTGTGGTTAGATGTGCACATTATGTCAGGGTTTGTGGAAGTTCACAGTTGCATAGTTGCTTCACACAATTTTGCCTTTGAGACAAATGATTTTTTGGATTGTTTGAAGGGAGAACATTTATGTCACACCCTATAATGAGGCACCAACCAGCTCTTTAAAGCACTGCATTAGAGATCTAATGGTGTGTCCAGGATACAAAACGCTGGCATTTCATAACAGTCATAGAGACATTCCTGTGCAGCAACACCCTGCTTGACACAGCTGAACAGGTTTACAGTGCATTGGAAAACACACTGTGTACTCATTTGCTGCCTTTACAGTCATAAGTACAACTAAAAACTGAAGGCAACACCTTTTCACAAATTTATCATCAACTTTGAACTAAAGTATCAGGTTGGGGCGATGTCCCTGGTGCTTACAGTCTGCTGTGCTCACTGTATATTCTGCCTCCACTTTGTTGTAGCACTAGTTAATAGTTCTAGATGTTTTCTCCCATTCACACTGCTGGATCATTTTATTTTCAAAATGTCAGCAGTGACATGAGAGGAGGAAAAAGTTCATGTATGCATATTTGCTAAAGACTGATGGGAAGAAATGGAGGTACATATGCACGTGCTGCCTCTCGTTTCTCTTTTTTTGAAGTTTTGTGTAAAATGTGCATCAAACATGTTTGTTGAACAAAACAGACAGTTTTGAAAAGTAATCTGAAAAGCTGTGGCTGTACAAACACAAAACCTGTGAAAAAAAAACAAGTTGACAGAAGTCAAATTTACATGAGATGAACTTGGATGAACTTGTGTATCTGTCACTAACCTGCAAACAGGAAGCACAGTTGAACCAGGTGCCAAAATACTAAGTCAGTCGCCACAGACTCCCGTATTAAAGAGCAACACAACTATACAACAGAAATAAACACGTTTACATCTGTTATACAAAATCTGGTTTACCCTGTGGGGCTAGTTTTCTAGTTGTCATGATAGCTGTTTTTATAACTCCTCTTTTTGTTAACTTTAATACTTGAAATTAGGGGTCAGACGGAGCGCTCCATTTTGCTTGGTGCCTTTTACTGACTATTGTTAATGGACCAGTCAAGGGTGTAAGAGCTGGGATGGGCTCCAGCTGCCCTGAGTAAGGATGAGCAAAAGAAGATGGCTGGATTCTCAGTCAGGCTGTGATGTACATGGATATAATAACTTACTCAGGTCACTATGTTTCCCATTAAGTTAGGAGTCCACTCTGTGGTCCAATATGGACATTTTAATCCTTAAAAACTGCAAACTGCTGGTTCAGGCTTCAAATCTCACAGTGCGTCTTCTACATTTTTATATAGAGTCTGTGCTGCTGTCACTGGAAAACACCATCCAATACTGCAGTCGAGTAAATAGCCCACAGTCTGCTGTCTACTAACCTGCTATTCCTACCTGATAACGTTGCACGCCAGACTGTGTAAAAACACACACACAAAAAAACAAAGATAAAAAAACAAACTTTGGCCTTGAACAAAACAAAAGTGTTGAGGCCACTTTGAGATTTTGTACAGTCTTGAACAAATTGATCAACTTTGTCTTCTCCAACTATCTCTGTATGCAGGACAATGAGGTTGAGGAAGCATTTCTGCAGGCTCCAGATCCCAAGGACGTGGAGAAGAAGTCATGCAACAAGAAGGGGGCAGGGATAGGAGTCGCCTTGGTGATTGGTGTTCTGGCTGTGATTGCATTGCTGGTCGGGCTGTTTTGCCGTAAGCTGACTTCATCAAACTACATTCAGCTAACCTGATGCTGGGGGTTGGATTTGAAAATACATATCTGAGCGCCTTGATGTCAGACAGGATATCAGGCAGGTGTAAGGTCTAATTGAAACAGAGCAGCTACCTGGACTGGATTATCTCATTAATAGTGTTACGTCCTCGCTGCGTATGACTCTGGATACTGTGGCTCCTATGAAAACAAAAGCTTCAAATTCAGAATAATTGACTCCCTGGTATAAATCTCAAATTACACAGCTTGATGCAGATAATGGAGAAGAAATGGTGTCTCGCTAATTTAGAAGATCTTCATTTATTGGAAAGAAGAGTTTGTCACTATAAAAATACCCTCGGCAAAGCCGGGACGTCTCACTAATGAGTGAAGAAACTACCCCAGCTTTCCTCTCACAACTGTAGCAGTGTTATTTGTCCTGTAAGAGAGAGAGGTCCAGTCCACAAGGGAAACTCACCCATAAAATTGTCATAACAATTATATACAGTTGTGATCAGAATGTTGTGTATAAAGATATTGGCAACATCTCTGTGTGTCTTCAGAGCCCCAGCATGTGAAGATGAAGAGAATTTATATCGGCTCCATGGAAATCAACAACAAGCAATTCCTGCCACAGTATGAGGAGCCCGGCAGTGCTGAGTTCACTAACCTGGCTGCTCAGGTCTGCAAACAGGTGAGACCTGACAGTTCCAAAGCATCATGGGAATTTTCCATATATGCGGTGTTATACATTCATCATGAGACCTTCAGGTTTGCTCTGTGATAGAAATAAATATTTAGAAG